GTAATTAAAGAAGGCATGTTTCCCAGAGTTTGGCAGAGTGAGAGGAACCTCATCTTGAAGGGTCTCAGAGGCTGTGTTTAGGATTTGGGGCTTATGTACAGGACAATGGGGAGCTATAGAAGGTTTTTAAAAAGGGAAGTGATGTGCAGAGGTTTGTGTGTTTTGTTTTTTAAAGACCCTGCTGACTCCCCTGTGCAGATTAAATGGAAGTGGGTGAGTGCAGGTTTGGGAGAATAACTGTTCTACAACAGTTTAGAAGGAAGAGAGTGTTTGGATTGATAGAAATGTATAGATTTGAGAATAACTTAGAAGCATCATTGAAGGGGGAATTGAGGGAGATGCCAGATGAGACCTGAGATCAGACACTGCAGAGGGGTGACTGGTGGTGCCGTTTATAAGGTGATGAACGATGGAGTGAAGTTCTGTTGTGGATGTGCAGACTTAGAAGTACACGTGAGTCACACATGAGGAGATGTGAACATAGCAGAAGTCAAGGGCATTTTTAGAATTGCTGAGGAAGATGATAAGGATTGAAGAAAGCATTTAAAGTGGAACCCTGAGGGTTAGGATGAGCCCTGAGAAGAGCAGTTGAGGGTTGGGTGGAGGGTGGGGGACTGACAAAGGGGAGTGCACAACAGTGACAGCGAGATGGGAGAATGGAGAATCCAGATTGGGTAGTATCTTGAAGACCAGTGGACAGAGTATTAAAAGACATGTGTGTGGAAGGGGGCGTACTCATCTCTTGAATATAGTACAGAGGGAAAGAAGGATGGACGTATTGGTAACAGAGGGAGCGCTGCTTCAGTAGGGTGGGGGTTGAATCCAGAATAGTATGAGTATGACAGATGGGAACAGTTACGAGCTCATCAGTCACAGGGAAGCAGGGTAAAGCTGGTGGAGGGGGCTGTGATGGGAGGGAGGGAGAGGCTGAGGAGCCAAGGGACAGGGACAGGATGGGCTTCTTGAGGAGGCAGGAGCACATGGGGCGATAACCTGTCAAACACAAGAAAGAAATGATAAATTTCTAACTCGTCATGACGCTTTTCTCTCCTCTTCTTAATTATTACTGATTTCTAATTAGGCTTTTGTTTTAAAAAAATTTTTTTGAATAGTTCCTGTTTTCTTTGTAGAGGTGAAGAGTGTGAGGAGAGAGACAGAAGGTGATGCTGAGTATAGGGAGAGTAGGAAAGTTGAAATAGCCATCGTGGACAGGGAGCTGATTAGAAAAGCTGTAGTTTCCAGATAATATTATGTGCTCCAGCACCCAGTCCTGATGATTCTTGTACCTAACTCTCATGAGCTGCCCTTGCTCTTTCTGCTGGTGCCTGAGTTCAGGTTCTTAATATTTTCACTTGGATTATGGGAATGGTTTTCTAAAAGGTCTTGAATTCAGCCTTCCCTCCTTGTCATCCTTTTCCACGTTATTTTCAGGATAATTATTTAAAAAAAAAAAAAAAAGCCATTTGCAAAGCTGAGTGACACAGAAGAAGGGAGAGATAGAGAACTTCTGTTCCCTAGTTCACTGCCCAAATGGCTGCAGTGGCGCAGGCTGGGCCAGGCTGAAGCCACAGGCCAGGAACTCCATCTTTGTTTCCCATGTGGGTGGCAGGGGCTCAGGTGCTTGGGGCACCTTCTGCTGACTTCCCAGGTGCATTAGCAAGAAGCTGCATCAGAAATGGAGCAGCCAGGACTGTAACCAGCACTCTGATATGGGATGCCAGCATTACAAGCGGCAGCTTAAATTGCTGAACCACAACAGCAGCCCCAGGATATTTTTAAATGAGAAAATATGTCATTACTAATATTTTAAATTGTATTTCTGGTATACAGAATTTGACCATCATCTTTAGCTCATGACAGTCATCATTGATGTATTCATGACCCACCTTTATTTATTTACTTGGTGGCTTTTTAATAATGTGGTAAGCAATCCCCAGATCCATTCACTGACTGCCATTACTCAGTGGTAATGATTATTGTAGCTTTATCCTTCCCCTTGTTCCCTTTTTATACAGGTTTATTACATCTCTCACTTTCTATTTTTTTAAAGATTTATTTTAAAAATTTATTTTACTTGAAAGTCACAGTTACACACAGAGAGAGGAGAGGCAGAGAGAGAGAGAGAGAGGTCTTCCATCTGCTGGTTCACTCCCCAGATGGCTGCAACAGCTGGAGCTGGGCTGATCTGAAGCCAGGAGCCAGGAGCTTATTCCGTGTCTCCTACGTAGGTGCAGGGGCCCAAGGACTTGGGCCATCTTCCACTGCCTTTCCAGGCCATAGCAGAGAGCTGGATTGGAAGTGGAGCAGCTGGGTCTCGAACCGGCGCCCATATGGGATTCCTGCACTGCAGGCAGCGGCTTTACCTGCTACACCACAGCGCTGGACCCTTATTTACTTATTTAAAAGTGAGGGTTACCAGAGAGAGGAAGAAAGACAGGGAGAGAGAAAGAGAGAGAGAAAGAGAGATTGAGATTTTCCATCTGCTGGTTCACTCCCCAGATAGCCTCAACAGCTGGGGCTGGGCCAGGCCAAAGCTTCTTCCTGATCTCCTACATAGGTGCACTCAGGCCATTCTCCATTGCTTTCCCAGGCGTGTTAGCAGGAAGCTGGATCAGAAGTGGTGCAGCTGTGTCATAAACCGGTGCCCATGTGGGATGCCACACTGGCAGCAGCCTTACCTGCTATGCCAGAACACTGGCTCTGACTATATATTTCTGAAATGTACTTTTATTATGGAAAATGTTAAATACACAAAAAGAAAAAAAAATAGGAATCCCTATGTACCTACCATGGTGCTCTTAATAATTATCAATTATATGTAATTAACACACAATTATTCTTAGATGTTTAAAGTTAACTGAAAAGTGATCTCTGTTATATATAAGAGTGGGAATAAGAGAGGGAGGGGATGTACAACTTGGGACATGCTCAAGCTGACTTGCCCCAAGTGGTGGAGTTAGAAATGTGCCAGGGGATTCCAATACAGTCCCATCAAGGTGGCATGTACCAATGCCACCTCACTAGTCCAAGTAATCAATTTCAGGTCACAATAGACCATAATGATAGGTCTAAGAGTCAAAGGGATCATATAAACAAGACTAGTGTCTGTAATACTAACTGATAGAATAAAAAAGGGAGAGAATGATCCAACATGGGAAGTGGGATACACAGCAGACTCATAGAATGGCAGTTGTCCTAAACAGCACTCTGGCTTCAGAATCAGCCCTTAAGGCATTCGGATCTGGCTGAAGAGCCCATGAGATTACTTTAGGCATGGAAAGCCAAGACACTCTGCCAAAAAAAAAAAAAAAAAACCTAAATGAAAGATCTCTGTGAGTGAGATCCCAGCGGAAAGAATGGGCCATCAAAGAAGGAGGTACCTTTCTCTGAAGGGAGGAGAGAACTTCCACTTTGACTATGGCCTTGTCAAAATAAGATCAAAGTTGGCGAGCTCAGGGGGCTTCCATGGCCTTGGCAACTCATGACTAGAGCCTGGGGAGATTGCTGATGCCTTAAACAAGAGTGTCAGATTGTTAAGTCAACAACAGGAGTCACTGTGCACTTACTCCCCATGTAGGATCTCTGTCCTTAATGTGTAGTTCAATGTGAATTAATGATGTGACTAGGGCTCAAACAGTATTTGTCACTTTGTGTTCTGTGTGGGGGAAAACTGATGAAATCTTTACTTAATATATACTAAATTGATCTTCTGTATATAAAGATAATCAAGAATGAATCTTGATGTGAATGGAATGGGAGAGGGAGCGGGAGATGGGAGGGTTGCGGGTGGGAGGGAAGTTATGGAGGGGGAAAAGCCATTGTAATCCATAAACTGTACTTTAGAAATTTATATCTACTAAATAAAAGTTAAAAAAAATTATCAATTCATGGCCAGTCTATTTGGGCCCTTCCCCCTCTGGCCATGGATTACTTTGAAACAAATCGCAGATACCATATGTATTTTTATGTGTATTAGATTTAAAAGGTATTTGTTCTATATGTAATCATTTTGAGATGCTTTCTTTTTGTTATGTATTTTACCTGAAATGCAGAGAAACAGAGAGATATTCCATCTATTGGTTTACTCCCCAGATGCCTACAATATAGTCAGGGCTGGGCCAGGCTGAAGCTGGGAGTCTGGAACTCCATCCAGGTCTCCCATATGGGTGGCAGGAGCCCAAGCACTTGGGCCATCATACCCTGCTTCTCAGAATGCACTAGCAGGAAGCTGGATAAGTAATGAAGGAGCTGGGACTCAATCCAAGGTACTTCGGTATGGGATACAGACAGCTTAACCCACTGGGCCCACCCTGAGAATAAGATTAAATTTTTTGCCATAGTCATTATAATTAATTAATTTCTATGTAATCTGTTGTGTGAACAAACTACTGTTTATTCATTTTCTGTTCTGTAGGTGGTCATTCTAGTGTTTCCAAGCCTTTGTCACTGTGAGTAATGGTGCTGTGAACACTTCCTGTACACGCCTCAGGTTATACGTGGCAAGAGATTGTCGTGTGGAATTCTCGGTTAGAGGATGTGTGTGAATGTTCAACCTCAGGATGTGATGGCAAATTTTCTCCCCATGCTTCCATCAGAAATATTTAAAAAGGGGCCTGGGTTGTGGTGCAACGGGTTGGACTGCCACCTGCAACGCTGGCATCTCATGTGAGCGCTAGTTTAGGTCTTGGCTGGTCCACTTCCAATTCAGTTCCCTGCTGATGTGCCTGGGAAAGCAAGTACTTTGGTCTCTGCCCCCCCATGTGGGAAACCTGGATGGAGTTTCAGACTCCTGGCTTTAGCCTGGCACAGCCCTGGCCATTGTGTCTATCTGGGGAGTGAACCAGCAGATGGAAGATCTCAACTCTCTCCATCTCTCCTTCTCTCTGTAACTCTGCCTTTCAAATACAAAGAAAAAGGAAATATATAAAAAATAGTTTTAACTATACTAATGCTCTTCAAGGCTTAAATAGTCAGTTAGACAGACTTCATTCCTTGTCTCTATAATTTGGAGTACTATGTGCCAGACCCTGCTAGATGCTGGGAACATAAAAGTAAATAAAAAGATAAACTTGCTGTTTAGTTTCACATTCAGACTCTCCTTAACATACCAGGCCCTTGATGATCTAGCACCTTTCTATCTGCCTAGCCTCAACCTGCCTTCCTAGCTTCATCTATTTCTACCCTCTATAACCATCCAGAAATGCAGAGAAATACTTACAGTTCTAAACATGCTATTCTCTTTCTTGGTTCTGTGGCCTTGTGTCTTAAAATCCTCACCTTCACTGATACTACTGAGGCTCTGATCAGACTTGACTTGTTTCAGGAAGTTTTCCTAGATCTCCTCAGTCTGACTTGCTCTCTCTTCTCTGTATCTATGCATTTGGCCACGTCATAATTGGTGATTTTCTCGTCTTTTCTGATAGAAAGTGTAGGGACTGTTCCTTTCATCCCTGCATTCTCAGTGTGCAGTGAGGTTTGCAGAGCGCAGGTAGGTGTCTGGTAGATGTTGAATGAATGGAGAGGAAAGGGAAAATTGAAGAGACAGTAAAGGGAATAAATAACCAAATTTGGTGATAGGCTTAGTAGTGAAAAAAGAAAACTGAAAAATCAGGTATGACTCCTGATATATCCTCTCTGGGTAACTGGAGGCCTTTAATATATTTTGTATAGGTGGGGATTTGAGTTGAGGTAGGTTGTGTGATAAGACACTGTAGCCATGTTTGCTGCTTTGAGAAATTCAGTCTAATAATCTTACAGAAATCTAATAATCGTACAGAAATCTAGCCTTAATGCCTCCAGTCTGCCTTTTCTCAATCCATTTTTTCTTGTTTTTCAGGTTCAGAACTTGGCAGTGAGGAACCAGCAGACCTCAGCCCAAGGACCCCAGATGCAAGGCTCCACTCAGAAGGCCATTCCTCCCGGAGCCTCCCCTGTCTCTAGCCTCTCCCAGGCCTCTAACCAGGCCTTGGCTGTGGCACAGGCCTCGTCTGGGGCCTCAGGCCAGTCCCTCAACCTTAGTCAAGCTGGTGGAGGCAGTGGGAGTAGCATGCCAGGGTCCTTGGGTCCAGGTGGAGGTGGCCAGGCGCCTGCAGGTTTGGGTCCATTGCCCTCCTCCGGAATGGGTGGTGGAAGCTGTCCCAGGAAGGGCACAGGAGTGGTGCAGCCCTTGCCTGCAGCCCAAACAGTGACTGTGAGCCAAGGCAGCCAGACAGAGGCAGAAACTGCAGCGGCCAAGAAGGCAGAAGCAGACGGGAGTGGTCAGCAGAACGTAGGCATGAACCTGACACGGACAGCTACACCTGCTCCCAGTCAGACACTTATTAGCTCAGGTAAGCTGTTACCACTCCTAAAGTCACAGTTCTCTCAAAACTTGTGTGAAGTCTTTGTAGTACATTGCTTTGGTTTTTTTGTTTTGTTTTTCTGTTTCTCTTGGCCATGAAGCATTGGAAGGAGAGAGAGTTCCATCAGCTTTCCTTGAACATGGTTCAGGGATAGGAGGATAGGTAACAGATGCAGATCTCCACTGTTCCCACTGGGCCCTAGGCAGCCTACAAATTGCCTTGTCTACCTTCTTAGGTAGACCTGACCTCATAGAATTATCTTGGAAAATCAGATTCTGGTCTTCATGCTACTTAAAATTTAGTATAACAGGTGAATTCTCATTCTGTGTTTAATGGTAGTCAGTACAGTGTAAAGCAGATATGGTATAAATGCCCTAGAGCACTAAAGATTAGCAAATAGAGCCATGGTTTAATATAGTGAACTTGTGCTCATCAGTATCAATGGTAAGGGATAGTAAAGAATAAATAGAATAGTAACCCTGAATAGTTGATCCTTGTTTTCAGTCTGTGGGTAAGATATAGTTAGGCACGAGTAGCTTACTTGGTGTTGTTTGTGGTCTTTGTTTCTAGCACCTTAGCTGTTGATGTATTTGGATAATTTGCTCACAATAAATTAAGAATTAGTTATTACTAATCCTTGGTATTTACTTACTCTGGCAGTTGTAGTTCCAGAGTGCTTTCATTTCATACAATTTGTGTGTGTTCTCTGGACAGTCTGGTAAAATATAGAGAGGTAGAGGTTGTCACCCAGGTAACAGGGGAGGACACTGAGGAAGCTCGGGGCTAGAGCTGCTGCTGACTCTGGAGTTTCTCAGGTGGTGACCTAACAGGTAAGTTGTTAACAATCAAGGCATTTGTGGAAGAAGTTGATTACCTCTAACTCTAGGACCTTTCTTCATTGAATAGTAAGTGATTCTTGTGTGTCAGGCACGGAGCTGGGTTCTAGGGAAGGCAAAAGGAATAAAACCTGGACTCAGCCTTTGTGAAATTCCAAGTCTTAATAATCATGCAGAGCGGGGAGAGGCCAGGAATTCTCTTTCGCTAAGTACAGCTTTAAAAGATAGGATATTTAAGTGTAGCAAAGAAAATAAACATAAGAAATTACTGAGGATTATTAAATGATTGAGAAAGGGAGTTCTTTCTTTGAGGTCTTTGAAGACAAGAGACTAGAGGTAGCTGGTAATGCCTGACTCAGCGGCAAGAGTTTGGATGAGGTGCAGCTTAAATTTACTTTTAATTAAGAGTGATTCTTTCCTGCACTTTTTTCTCTTGGTTCCCTCCTGGGGTTGTTCCTACAGCCACGTACACGCAGATCCAGCCCCACTCACTGATTCAGCAGCAGCAGCAGATCCACCTGCAGCAGAAGCAGGTGGTGATCCAGCAGCAGATTGCCATTCACCACCAGCAGCAGTTCCAGCACCGCCAGTCCCAGCTCCTGCACACAGCGACACACCTCCAGCTGGCCCAGCAGCAGCAGCAGCAGCAGCAACAGCAGCAGCAGCAGCAAACCACAACCCTCACTGCCCCCCAGCCACCACAGGTCCCACCTACTCAGCAGGTCCCCCCTTCTCAGTCCCAGCAACAAGCCCAAACCCTTGTTGTTCAACCGATGCTTCAGTCCTCACCGCTGTCCCTCCCACCTGACCCAGCCCCTAAGCCACCCATTCCCATCCAGTCCAAACCACCTGCAGCACCTATCAAACCTCCTCAGTTGGGGGCTGCTAAGATGTCAGCTACCCAACAACCACCCCCCCATATCCCTGTGCAAGTTGTGGGCACCCGGCAGCCAGGTACAGCCCAGGCACAGGCTTTGGGGTTGGCACAGCTGGCAGCTGCTGTGCCTACTTCTCGGGGGATGCCAGGTGCAGTGCAGCCTGGTCAAACCCACTTGGCCTCCTCGCCACCTTCATCCCAGGCTCCTGGTGCACTGCAGGAGTGCCCTCCTACATTGGCCCCTGGGATGACCCTTGCTCCTGTGCAAGGGACAGCACATGTGGTAAAGGGTGGTGCTACTACCACCTCACCTGTTGTAGCCCAGGTCCCTGCTGCCTTCTACATGCAGTCTGTGCACCTGCCGGTAAGTGATGTCCGAGGATTTGAAGGGACTGTCACCTGTGAGAGTGGACCTGGGACTAGTGGAAATAGAGTTTATATAGAGGAGTAAAGAATGGAGGTTATTACTGGTATTTGCTCCTTTTATACGAGAGAGATGTTAACAAATATAACACCTGAACTTCATACTCCTAAATGTGTTGGTGAAATCATTCTGGGCTTTTGTATGTGTACTGTTACCTCAAAGTACTGTTAACCAAATCAGTCTCTGGAGAAACAACACTTCTTGGTTGGTCCATATTCAAGGACTGAATAACACTTCATTTTCCTTTGTCCTCGTAGAGAAATTAGAACTTCTTGGGGATGGTGAGGAATTTTAGTATACCATGTGAGGAATACAAATTGGGGAGTCTAAAACTAAGACAGTTTTCTGTGAAACTATGGGAGTAATTGTGGTCCCTTATAATCTTTCCCTTCCAAGTCTTAGTTTCTTTCCTGTTCACAAACAGGGTAAACCTCAGACGTTGTCTGTTAAACGCAAGGCTGAGTCTGAGGAGGAGAGAGACGATGTGTCCACACTGGGTTCAATACTTCCCGCCAAGGCATCTCCAGCCGCAGAGAGCCCAAAGATCATGGAGGAGAAGAGCAATCTTGGAGGTGAGTAAATGACTTCTAAAATGCTGTTGGAGTGCACTGAGAATAGATACATGTTCTGAAAGAGCTAAAAGATAAATCTGGCTGGATAGAAAATGGGCCTGAACGTGGTGCACTATTGAGAAAACCCACATACGAGTCATTCAGGTGAATGATGGATGAATATGTATGTGGTAGGAGAACAGGCTGGTTCAGCTAATAGATGGGTCATTTATGCTATCCTATATCTGTTCTTAATCTGCATTTTTTTTTTTTCTCCAGAGAAAGCTGAACCAGTGGCCAATGTGAATGCTAACACCCCAAGCAGTGAACTAGTAGCCTTGACCCCTACCCCATCAGCACCACCTCCTACGCTTGCCATGGTCTCCAGACAAATGGGTGACTCAAAACCCCCACAGGCCATTGTGAAACCTCAGATTCTCACGCACATCATTGAAGGCTTTGTTATCCAGGAAGGAGCAGAACCTTTCCCGGTGAGAGCTGCGCCATAGGTGGGACTGTCCAATGGGGCTTGGTCTGATGGCTGTCTTTTTTAACTCCCCCAGGGCACAACTGTTTAATTATATAGAGTGGTTCAGTTGTGTTTGTTAAGTTAGGAAAGGAAAAGGAAACTGGACTAGAAAATGGAGAAGAGGAGAAGAAAAGGAAGAAAGTAACCTTTAAAGCTGTAATTTTTAGTTAAACAAACTAGATTGTTTTATATTAAAGAAAATTACAGTAGAGAAGTTAAGGGACTTTTTCTAGGTTCTGAGTTGCAAAATCAGCTCTAGGTAAGACAAAATAGGGAGCTAGGGTAGGAACCTGTTGTCCAGTAGCTTATCTGAAAAAGCAAAACCAGTTAGAGACTCGCGACTGCCACATAGAACATGATTCTCTGTGAACCGGACCTGGCCCTTAACTCAGAGATCCCAAGGACACGACAGTGGGAAATGTTGGAGAAAGTGGTGAAGAGGCAGAAAGGAATTAGGCTAACTTAACTGTAAACTGTTTCTGGGTTTCTGGGACAGGTGGGCTGTTCTCAGTTACTGAAGGAGTCCGAGAAGCCACTGCAGACCAGCCTTCCAGCGGGGCTCAGTGAGAATCCTTCAAGTGACCCCTTGGGAGGGGACAGCCCCTCTGCTGGTGAGTATTTAGAGACCCATGAGCAGAAAGGAGGCTCATGGAGATGTGTTTGACGAGTCACTGTAAAATAGTAATTATTTATTTAAAGTAGGAAATATATGAAGTCTGTCTATACATAGAAGCCATATTATATATCAGAGCACGTGGAATCACTCAAAAGGAGTTCTCAAGCAAAAGTAAGCTGTTGAATTATTCCTTACTATAAGGATATGTTTTTCAGGTGACCTAAAATAAGACATTGATATTTATTTATTTATTAAAGATTTATTTCTTAAAAAAGACAATTACTGGGGGGTATGGGAAGATCTTCCATCTGTTGGTTCACTCCCCAAATGGCTGGGGCTGGGTAAGTCCCAGCCAGGGCCTAGAACTCCATCTGGGTCTCTCACATGATTGGCAGGGGCCTAAGTACTTGAGGCATCCTTTGCCATTCTCCCAAGCGTATTAGTAGGGAGCTGGATCAGAACTGGAGCAGCCAGGTCTCCAACCAGCACTCTTCTGTAGTACTAGCATCGAAGGTAGTGCTTAACCCACTGTGCCACAACACTGGCTGTGATATTTGTATTCTTAATTTCTCATCTTATCCTAGATCCTGTAACATACATTAAGGAGTCTTGTTTAATATTTATTGCCTATTTTTGGAAACTTTTTGGGAAAGGGATCTTATATTTTTTAGGCATTAGTGATTAGTTTTTTCTCCTATTCAGAAATGAATTGTATCTGAACTCTGAGTATTAATTATGTAGGATAAAATTAGACATTTAAAATGGAAATAGTATAGCCTTGGGTTAGGAAGACTTTAAAGACTTGATAATTTTTTTTTTTTTTAATAAGAAAGCAGACCTGCTTTCATTGATCTGCTTGCCAATAGTTTAAATCCTTGAGAACAGCATTGCATGGATTCTGTGTCCAGTGGCTCTCACAGGAAGCTTGCTTCAGAATTCGGCACATACCGTGCCACTGTTTCCATGAGTGTGGATTACTTTCCCCAGATCATTCTGGTTTTATTAGGTTTACTGCCAGGAGTCATTGTGTTCTTCTTTTCCTTGAAAATACAAGCACATCTCTTGCCCAGATAGAATTGTTTCATCTTGAGAATAAACACCTTCAGGTTTGTTTTTTTTTTTTTTTTAAGATTTATTTATTTATTTGAAAGTGTATGGAGAGAGAAGGAGAGGCAGAGAGAGAGAGAGATCTTCCATCTGCTGGTTCACTCCCCAGTTGGCTTCAATGGCCAGAGCTGCGCTGAAGCTAGGAACATGGAGCCAGGCGCTTCTTCTAGGTCTCCCATGCGGGTGCAGGAGCCCAATGACTTGGGCCATCTTCCACTGTTTTCCCAGGCCACAGCAGAGAGCTGGATTGGAAGTGGAGCAGCCGGCTTCAGACCGGCGCCCATATGGGATGCTGGCACTGCAGGTGGTGGCTTTACCTGCTGTGCCACAGCGCCGGCCCCAACACCTTCAATTTTAAGGAGTTGTGGGGCTGGCACTGTGGCAGAGCAGGTAAAGTGCACATTCCATATGGGTGCTGGTTTGAGTCTCGGGTGTCCCACTTCCAACCCAGCTCCCTGCTATGGCCTGGGAATGCAGTGGAAGATGGCCCATGTCTTTGGGTCCCTGCACTCATAGGAGACCTGGAAGAAAACTGTTGGCTTAGGACTGGCCCAGCTCCGGCTGTTGTGGCCATTTTGGGAGTGAAACAGCAGATGGAAGATCTCTCTGTCACTGTTTTTTCCTGTAATTCTGCCTTTTAAATAAACATATAAATATTCTTTCAAAGATTTATTTATTTATTTGAAAGTCAGAGTTACACAGAGAAGGAGAGGCAGAGAGAGGGAGAAGTCTACTATCCTCTTCTTCACTCCCCAATTGACCACAGTGGCCAGAGCTGGGCCGACCCGAATTCAGGAGCCAGGAGCTTCTTCTGGGTCTCCTACATGGGTGCAGGACCCCAAGGACCTGGGCCATCCTCCACTGCTTTCCCAGGCCATAGCAGGGAGCTGGGTCGGAAGTAGAGCAGCCGGGACTTGGACCAGCGCCCATATGGGATGCCAGCACTGCAGGTGGCAGCTTTACCCACAACACCACAGTGCCAGCCCTGATAAATATTTGGCTCTGGTGATCTTGCTTATAGCCAGCACAAATGGCCGTGCACCACAGCCTGCCAGCTGTGTTTGCTTTTGAAGTCTTATTCCCATCAGTCCTCTGTGGACACCAAGATGGTGGAAAGAGGAGTTGGTAATGTTCTTGATGGACAAGGCTTCCTGGTTTTCTAACTTTGTACAGTCTCTGGGGGCAGACCCTGACCATAACTAGGATCTAGCTCTGGGAATGATGCATGCCGGCCTGAGGGGCCACAGAACCCCAGGGTGACTCTCCACTGATGCCGTGACTTCCAGAGCTGGAGAAGAAGGCGAGCCTCCTGAAGTGCGAGTACTGTGGGAAGTACGCCCCTGCAGAGCAGTTCCGTGGCTCCAAGAGATTCTGCTCCATGACTTGTGCTAAGAGGTACTGTAGAGACGCCCTTCTCACCCTCAGCCGCTGGGTTCTCTGTTAGTGTCACTTCCCTTTCCCATGATCATCTAACAACTGCTACTTCGTGGCTCCCTCCTTGCTTTCATTCCTTTCCCCAAATCAGGTCTTAAAATACCAAGTCACATTTAGGGTGACATCGTGTATATGCCTTGACCCGTAGGTACAATGTGAGCTGTAGCCACCAGTTCCGGCTGAAGAGGAAAAAAATGAAAGAGTTTCAAGAAGCCAACTATGCTCGTGTGCGCCGGCGTGGACCCCGACGCAGCTCCTCTGACATTGCCCGGGCCAAGATCCAGGGCAAACGCCACCGGGTGAGCTGCTGTCCCAGACAGCTACCTTAAAAACTGACTTTTTTTCTTGCCTACAGGGCAGTTCCTCTGCTTAGGTAAATGTGTGTGAGACCGGAACTCTCCTTCACCTTGACCTGCTTTGTTCCTCTCACCTGGCCACTGGTTTATGTGTCTATTAATCCTTACCCTGTACTTGAGTAGAGAAAATGTAAATCAATTTTTAGTACAAGGGGAAAAGCAAGGGAGTGATAAGTTTGTCCCTGAAAGGCACCTGGGGCTTTGTGCAGATTATTTCTCATGTGCTAAGATAAATTTTTCCTCTCTGCCTAACCTTGAGTGGTTGGGGAAGGCAGAGGGCAACTGAACACACTTACTCCTGACCTGTTGTTTCTCTGTAGGGTCAAGAGGACTCCAGCCGGGGTTCAGATAATTCCAGTTACGATGAAGCACTCTCCCCAACATCTCCTGGGCCATTATCAGTACGCGCTGGGCATGGAGAACGTGACCTGGGGAATCCCATTACAGCTCCACCTACACCGGAATTACATGGCATCAACCCTGTGTTCCTGTCCAGTAATCCCAGCCGTTGGAGTGTAGAGGAGGTGTATGAGTTCATTGCTTCTCTCCAAGGTACTGAGGGTCTCTCCCAATAGAACCCAGGTCTTCAGTTCCCTTAGGTCATCCCACATGGGCCTTTGCAAGAGAGAACATTAAGTGTGGGTCTTCAAGCAGTAGGGGCCTGAGTATGGCAGTTCCGAGGCTCTAGACAGTACACAGCCTGGTCCCTAGTTTCTTTATGGGTTGATGTTGTCTTCTATCTCAATGATGTTACAGTTAGATTTTCTATCTTTTGATTTACCACTATTTTTTTTTTTGACAGGCAGAGTGGATAGTGAGAGAGAGAAAGGTCTTCCTTTTGCCGTTGGTTCACCCTCCAATGGCCGCCACGGCCCGCGTGCTGCGCTGGTGCACCATGCTGATCCGAAGCCAGGAGCCAGGTGCTTCTCCTGGTCTCCCATGGGGTGCAGGGCCCAAGCACTTGGGCCATCCTCCACTGCACTCCTGGGTCACAGCAGAGAGCTGGCCTGGAAAAGGGGCAACCGGGACTAGAACCTGGTGTGCCGGCGCCACTAGGTGGAGGATTAGCCTAGTGAGCCGCGGCGCTAGCTGCATTTTTTATAGCTACTTTTTTAATTGAGAGGCAGAGACACAGAGATAGAAAGACAAACCTCCCCTCAGCTGGTTCATTCCCCAAATGGCTGGGACTAGGCTGAGCTGAAGCTGGGAACTCAGTCTGGGTCTCTTCGGTGGGCAGCAGGTACGTGATTACTTGAGCCATCATCACTGCCTCCCAGAGTCCACATTTGGAAGCCAGAATCAGGAGCCAGAGCTTGTTATCAACCCAGGCACTCCAGTGTGGGACAGGAACGTTTAATTTGTTTTTAGATTTACTTATTTGAAAGGCAGAGTTAGAGAGAGGCAGAAGCAGAGACAGAGACAAAGAAAATCTAGGGGGCTGGTGTTGTGGCGTAGCTGATAAAGCCACTGCCTGCAATGTGGCATCCCATGTGGGTGCCGGTTCGAGTCCCAGTTGTTCCACTTCCAATCCAGCTCTCTGTTATGACTGGGAAAGCAGAAGATGGCCAAGTCCTTGGGCCCCTGCACCCGCATGGGAAACCAGAAGCTCCAGGCTCCTGGCTTCGTATCGGTGCAGCTCTGGTCATTGTGGCCAGCTGGGGAATGAACCAGTGGATGGAAGACCTCTTTCTCGCTCTGTAACTCTTTCAAGTAAATAAATAAATCTTTAAAAAAAAAAATCTTCTATCTGCTGGTTCATCCCCCAAATGGCCATAACGGGCAGAGCTGAGCCAGGCCAAAGCCAGGAACCAGTTGGGTGCTGGGGCCCAAGGATTTGGGCCATCTTCCACTGCTTTTTCCAGCAGGGAGCTGGCTTGGAAGTGGAGCAGCCAGGACTCAAACTGGTGTCCATATGGGATGCTGATGCTGCATGCAGTGGCTTTTCCCGCTACTCCACAGTGCCAGCCCCAAATAGGGGCATTTTAACCACTAGACCAAACATCTGCCTCAGAATTTTTTTCTCCATTGGGGAAGAGCAGTAGAAACTAAGAGGTCATTGTTGCCCTACTCCCTTTAACACAGTCTAGTTTGTAAGCTAGGCTTGACAAAAGTCACCCTACCCTTCTTGGTGTTGGACTGAATCCTGGGCTCTTTGAGAAAAATCTCTTAAGTTAAAAGAATTCATATGTTTTTGTTGTCCCTCTCCCCCCTCCCCACACTATTTGAATGACCAACTTGCTCTTGGCTCTGTTTTAAAATAGCCAATTACAGTAATTTGCTGTCACACCTTGCCATGTCAGAATTTGATACTACTGGACTTACGACAAATACCTTGCGTTAACTAATGCTAGGTCCTTCATCTTTAATTTAGCCCCTTCTATCCTCTGGTGCTACCATGCAGTTTCTCATATAAGTTCTCATCATTTCCTTCTAGGTTGCCAAGAGATTGCAGAGGAATTTCGCTCCCAGGAGATTGATGGACAGGCCCTTTTATTACTTAAGGAAGAGCATCTTATGAGTGCCATGAACATCAAATTGGGCCCTGCCCTCAAGATCTGCGCCAAGATAAACGTCCTTAAGGAGACCTAAGATGGCTCTCTCGCACAATCCAGCCTGGGGCGGGCACTCCCTACTGTCCAGGTTATAGCCTGGTACCAGCAGAGACTGCAGGGAAGAGAGCACTGTTCCAATCATGTAACCTTCTAAAGGGGGACTGCCAAGACAGGGAAGAGAAATGCAAGAATTTGTTGCTGGTGCTACACACGGCAGCTTGACATTTTCTCTGGGTTCTACTTTATTTTTAAAAATCTTTACAATTCTCACCATTCCGCCTGCCTGAATCCAATCACTGCAGAGGTGGTCTGCAGAACTAGGACCGCTCAGCCTTATCTTGGAGTGGAGCGTCTAGCCAGGGTCTCAGTTCTCCCAGAGGAATATATAGTGTACGGTAAGGCAAGGAATGGGGGGAGTGTAGATATGCCTCCCCAATGGGAGAGGTAGGCTTTTTCTAGCTTGTGTGACACAAGTAGCAACATCTGGTACGTCCCGTCTTCCCTCTGGATTGTTCCACTGTAGTTGTGGCTCAGAGTTTTCTTTGTGGTCACTACTTCTAGTATTGATTACTTTCTCCTGTGTCCATGGCAGAGTCACCAGCCAGATTGGAGGTTTGGTTGGCATCTTTCTGATTTGCTGCAGGGACTGAAAGTGTTTGGCACACATGTGGCCGTTGTCATTTTTCCTCCATCCCCTTGCTCCCTTCTGATTTATCTGTTGTCTTCTACCTTTCTTTTCAGTTCCCACTCTGCTCTGTCCTATAGCTTTATAAACTGGAGGGTGTGCGGCCAAGGTCAGGAGTGTAAGTAAGTACCTGCCTTGGCACTGTTCCTTATACAACAAAAATATTAAATATTTTTTTTCTTCCTCAGTAAAAGGATGAAAATTGGTCTCAGTTGTCTTACTCCATTTCAGTATCTTTCACGCAAATGACTAGGCCAACACATCTTGTTTGTTTTTTAATATTACATATTTTTGTACAAAAAGTGGTGTATTTTTTGCATTTTAAAACACCAAGATGGGGGAGGAATGCAAACACGTAACAAAAAAGATGCTTTTATAACATTATTTTCCCTGTTTAGAAAGAAAATCATTCCAATAGTATTGAAAAGTCCAAAGATGAATTTTCATTTGCCTCTCTAAAGGCTTACAAAAGGCCCTGCCTGTGGATTCCGTTCCTCTTTTGTGTCCGGTGGAGCCATGTTACTCTGCAGTGGCCCAGAGGTTCACTATACAGAAATATCAACAGAAAGATGCGAGCATCAGAGGATTAAAAACCTGTCCCCACAGAAACATGAGCAGGGCGCTTCCCTGAGCCAGCAGAGGGGACGGTGCAGCAGCCACTCCGCTCAGAGCAGAGGCCGGCAGAGCCCTAAACGTCCCACTTCTGCTTCCATTCCCTTTCCAGAAGATTGAAGAAAAAAAGTCAAAACCACATGCCTGTGAAAAAGTGCAACATGTTTAGAAATACTGGTGGAGGAACAAGGAAACTGTACAAATCGGGGAAGAAAACAAAAGAGATCCCACCACAAGGTAAAGAGACTTTAGAGTCCCTGCAGCACAGGAGGCTGGGCCAGTTTCCTTCCCTTTCCCGACAGCCTAGATTTCTGGATTAGGCATTTTGGCTTCATGTAGACCAATACCTACAAGCCCACAATTCCAGGGCTCAATTCCAACTATAAAGTCACCCCAATGCCAACAAATGATGTGTTGCATCCTATAATCCTGTAGTTGGGAAATTTCCTGTTTTTCCTGTCTTAATCCCACAGGTGGGAGAGGCAAGTCTAGAACATCCCAGGCTCAGATCATATGGGAGCACTTGGACTGCAACCAAGTGATCACTGTAAAGTAGTTCCAAGCAGCAAGAAATTATGTCCAGGTTCTCATAGAGACTAGTGTAGGGTACAGAGTAATGGCATGAAAGCAATCAAACCTGTATAAATAATGTCTTTTTTTTTTTTTAATTAAAGAAATCCAGTGTCTCAAAAGCTCGTAGATGCGTTTAAAAAAGAAAGGGCCAGGGAGTCTGCCAATCCCTTTTGCCCATTATCCTACTTGTACTTTCTGATACCAAGTGATAATCCAGTGGCCTGTCTTCACAGGCCTTAGTATCACACCTGTATTGCTGGAGGAAAGACAATAGGGAACCAGGGAGAAGGCAGTTCTAGTGGGAAGAGAATACAAATCAAAAGCAAGAGGAATGCTAAGAATGAGATGAGACAGGTGGAGACTGCTTGAGAAAACTGGCTGAGTATGCTTTGGTTTGGGGGACTGAGGAGGCTGGACTAAGTGCAGTCAATCACATTGGTAATAAATGATCATCCCTTTCTTCTGACTCTTCCCCCAGCTGATCATCCCCCACACCACGATACGCAGCAGGCACATTTCGGGGTTTGGAACGGCACACAAAGTCACACCCATCCTGTAGGGGGAAAGAAAAAGGAAAATACTGTGGAAACCCAACCTTAGGCACGACGAAGTATGTATGTTCACGGTCTAAGAATGTGGCAAGAGCTAGTTTTCTTCAAGGATCAGCCTAGAGCAACTCATTAGAAACAAACGGTTTTTTCTAACTGGGGCTCACCTCCCCACCTAGGCGCCCTTCATAGCTGTATCAAATGTGGGAGACAGCATCTCATTGACAGAGTCAGTCTTTCAGCTGTGTCTTAGCAAGGCCAGAAACTGCTGCTCTGCCACTTTGTACTGGGGCTGGGTTTGTTGGGACTTCTGTGGTTTTAGCAGCCTCTGCCTGTGTCCCAGATAGCCTCAGTGTGAGGACACGATGGTTGGTCACCTAACCATGAATGCAGGCTGCAGACTTAGCCAGCTGCTGTTACTTACTGCTACCAGGTTGCCAAGATCCTGCCAGAAGGCTAGGTGGGGGAACTGCTCCATTCCCTTGGCTCCCACCACCAGTCGCTGGTACAGGAAGCCCCCGATGATATAGACAGTGACCAGTGATGCAAACCTATAGAGGAAGAAAGACATCAGGCTGGCATTGTGGCTCAGAAGGTTAATCAGCCAGTAATGCCAGAAGTCAGAGGAGAGAGAGACCTTCCATCTGCTTGTTTACTCCCTAGATGGCCACACAGCCAGTGCTGGGCCAGGCTGAAGCCAAGAACCTCATCCAGGTCTCCCACATGAGTGCACTAAGTGCCCAAGCACTTCGGCTATCTTCCGCTGCTTTTTCCCAGGTGCATTAGCAGGGAGCTGGACATGAATTGGCTCCCAGTGCTCCACTTCTGATCCAGCTCCCTGTTAATATGCCTGGAAAGCCTTGTGAGAGTCCAATTATTTGGGCCCCTGCAACCCACAGGAGAGACCCAGATGGAGTATTAGGCTCCTGGCTTCAGCCTAGCCCAGCCCAAGCCACTGAGGCCATTTGGGTATGAACCAGCAGATGGAAGCTCTCTCTCTCTCTCTCTCCCTCCTCTTCTCTGCCTTTGAAATAAGCCTTAAAAAAATTAAATAAATAAATAAAATGACAGACATCTATAACAATAAGAGATAAAGTTAGCTCTTTTCTAAACTACATTCTGTGGAAAGAAAAATAGTAGTGATATGAGAATGGGCTGATAGCTTTCTTAGAAAATCTGTTAACACTGCTGTCAGTCTGGGAGAGGGAAAAGTTCACCAAGAAACATGGCACAGGGTAGCCATTTAGTGTAGGGGTTAAGAGGCCACTTGCAATGCTCACATCCCATACTGGAGTGTTGACTGAGTCCTGGCTGCTCCACTTCCAATATACATCCCATTAGTGCCTAGGAAGGCACTATGATGATCTATCTAAGTGCTTGGGCCCCTGCCCCCCATGTAGTAGACCACCATGGAGCTCCAGGCTGCCATCTTTGGCCTGGCCTACGCCCTACCATTGTGACCATTTTGGGAGTGGACCACTGGATGGAAGAGCACTCCCTCTTTGTCACCCTGCCTTTCAAATAGATAAATAAATCTGGGGGAAAAAAAGGAAAAAGCCAAAGACACTGGTTAAGCCTGCATGCATCTCACAGTACCTAGTTCAATACCCAGTTCCTGACTCCCGCTTCAGCCAGTGCAGACCCTGGGTCAAGTAACTGGGTCCTTGCCACACACATGGGAGCCATGGATTGAGTTCCTGGCTCTCAAATTTGGCCCAGCCCAGTCCCGGCCACTGTGGGCATTTGGGGCACAACCCAATTGTCAAGATTACAGTGTGTTTCTAAAGAAATGAAAATTCTGGGAAAAAACACAACATGGTCCAGTGTATGGAATCTAACTTGTAACCAAAAATATTTCATTTCTCCAAAATTCTAATAATCTAATGGGATAGTATTAAAAACTATTCCGCCTTCCAGGAAAATAAAGCATCCCCAAATGCAAATATTAGAGATAAATGCAGTATTTTGTTAAAAAAATTTACACAGAATATTCTCAATCACTCTTTGCCACCCAACTGTAACACTGTACCACCAGGTAGACAAAGACCTCAGGGAAAATAAGGAGACAGAGAAAGTCCTGAACAGGAAGAGAAAGTACTCACGTAACAAGTAAGACTGAGCCCACACTGAGGTGGGAGACCTCCGGGGGACAGGCCAGGCTGCTGTCCAACTCAAAGAGGTAGAAACAGTCCTGGACTTTGCCTCGCTCCTCAGACACAGGGTTAAAGTTGTCCTGGTGACCAGAGGACAGAACACAGTAGATGTCGTAAAGGGTTTTCTCTTGACTCTCGTCTAACAATCACCTGCTTCCTTCGGGCTCAGTGGCCTCGCTACCACGTGGACGGAGACTGATGTCCGACGCAGGGAAGGCTCAGCTGGCTTCCTCATGTCTCCCCAGGGATCTTGTTCCCTCTGGCTACCCTCCCCGCTTGTCTCCTTCCTCCACCTGCCCCTGCCCAGCACCTCACCGCCAGCGTGTGTCGATTGCAGGAGATCATCACGACCGCGCGGCGCTGCTCCTTGCCACAGTGGCGGTCGTACTCATCGCCCCCCTTGTAGATCAGCATGATCCAGTCACCTGAGTACGGACAAGGAAAATGGTGCTAAGAGGGATGGGAAAAGCAGAGGCACATCTGGGTAATATGGCATGGCGCCATTAAGCAAGAGTGAAGCAGGTTTTAATTACAATAACCCTCATCGGTGCGAGCTCTGTACACCAGAAATGCTAAACTAAAACTTGCCTCTTTACAAAGCTTTGTGTTCCCTTGTTTAAGACAACTAAGAATCAGACATTCATGTAAGAACAATCTTAATTCTCCGCTTTAAAGGCAGGCAACTGATAGTGCAAAAACTTACACCTTAATGTGGTTCACATTTTCTCAATGCCTACTAACATACAACTGCTGGGCAGAGGGGAACCCAAAGATTTAAAATTAGCCACAGGTAAATCCAGAGAAGACAATTTTAAAGCTGGAATGTGTTGTTCTTTAGTATTTACTGCATTCCAAGTTCTTTTGCAAAGTATCATTTGATCCAACAGTCATAGGAAGTGAATAATATAAGGGTTCTGCTTTCAATTTTGCATTTGAGAAAAGAAAAGTGAAAATGACTTCAAAGTCCCAGGAGGAAATAAGAGCTGGGCTAAGAACTCAGTCATCTCACTCCAATCCCAAACTCTGTCCAGTATCTTTTATTATAATTTTTGACTTACAGGAGTAAATACCTGCACTGGAAATTTTGATATTTCTCGGTTTAAAACATGAACTAGACAGCAAGTTTTTTCTATCCAGATGATTTTAGGACTTTTGAAAAACATTACCACTGTAGCACAATTCAGTAGGGAAACTGGTTTGCAAAAGAGCTTTATCTCTTGGGGGCTGGTGCTGTGCTGCAGTGGGTTAAGGCCTTGGCCTGAGGTGATGGCATCTCGTTTGGGCAGCAGTTCTGGTCCTGGCTGCTCCTCTTCCAATCCAGCTCTCTGCTATGGCCTGGGAAAGCAGTAGAAGATGGCCCAAGTCTTTGGGCCCCTGCACCCATGTGGGGGACCCGGAGGAAGCTCCTGGCTCCGGATCAGCGCAGCTCTGGCCGTTGCGGCCATCTGGGGAGTGAACCAGCGGATGGAGGACCTCTCTCTCTCTGTAACTCTTTCAAATAAATAAAATAAATCTTTAAATAAAAAAAGAGTATCACTTCTTAACATTCAGCAGCAAACCTTGACTAATCTGTTGAGAAGTGGTGATTGTTGGTATTTTCAAGCCTAGTATGGAACACTTTTAGTATCTGGGTAACCAAAGCCCCGTGGGCCACACAATTCTGGCTAGATTCTGCGGTTTTTGTAAGATCCTCACCAATTTCAAACACGTAAATGTCCCAACCTGTGACTCCAGAGCAGCTGGGAAACTAGCCATCTAGGGGTCTGTGTCTGCCCATACATAACAGAGACTCGAGAGACCGGAGAGGCCAACACATACAGGACTGGCAGAGGGACTGCCGTGGGAGCAACAGTCAATCAACAGGGAGGGTCTTACTTCCATTGAAGATGTGAGTCTCATTGAGTCTGCCTACCACCGTCTCCTTCCCGTTACTTTTGTCGATCTGCACCAGGCCTGCCCCAGAGGTGTGGTTGCCAGCTTCTCGGCACACTCTGAATATGTAGATGTATGTGTCTGAGCCCTGGCCCACGGTGCTCTCAAAGCTGTAGGGAGAAGCAGGCAGGAGGCGAGAGTTACCAGCTGTCAGCTTCCCTTCACTTACACAAATGAACAGGCAAGCTCGACTGCCTTATGTGACATGGCTAAACCCAATACTGGATTAATATTTGTTGAATTATAAGGGATTCATGACCCTGCAAGGCCATCCTAATTGTTGATGAGGAGTGATTAAAATAACCTAAGACACTTATTCTAGATATTTCTAGAAAGCCCATGTTTCTTAAGGGTCACCTGGAGATTCCTGACATTTATAACATGGATAGGCCAAACATATTTACCTGATGCCTCTGAAATCCTACTTAGGGAGGTATTGAACAATGCTTGAATTTCTACAAGCTGGGCTCATGGAGCCAGCCTTGGAAACAGCTACTCTTCAGGGAAAGATAAGAGAACTGCACATTGCTACTAAAAACCAGGCTGAGAATTTGCTGTGCACTGTAAAAAAGTGCAAGGTGTTCAAGGGCAAATAAGACCCGGGTGGCTGAAGGTCAGGTCAGAACATCTCCCACAGCGGGTTATGAGACACGTATTCCCACTATAATAGTCCTGAAACAAAATCAGTAAGAAGGAGAGGTGTTTTAATAAAGATATTTTCTCAGTCACCTTTTGTTAAACAGTGGCTTCAGCCTCTTCAGTAGAGCCAACTCTTTCTCTGACTCTTTCCCCTTTTCTCCCACCAAGTCGCAGGTTTTTTCTTCTGTCTGCCAGGATTCTCTCACGGCCACAGCCAGCAGGAGCAAGAACAGTCCAGTTCTCCAGCAGCTGTGGAAGGGGAACATCCTTTGGGGAGAATTGGGGGGGGCGGCAGAGGGAATAAGGAGAGAAGGGACAGAGAAAGCAAAATGAATGGCACTTGGCTATGGAGAGAGTATAAGGTGCTCTGGCATATGCAACAAATGGTACATTTTAGTATCTCTGTGACAGTAACACCTGTAGCAGGAAACTCATATCTATAAATACATAAAACTTGCTCTAACTTATGGGTGAGTGCTTCAGGACAAACTATGGGATGTGGAGACGGAAATGGGTAAAGAATTACTGAATGATTATAGCTGGGTGCAGCCATCCTTGCGTTTACTGTCTGGTGAAAACTTACACTGAGTTATCTCATTACTCAAAGTTTACTGCCACTTCACAAATACAGCTTAAATCAGCAGACTTTTGTACAAAAACAGCAAAATTAAGATTCAAAGAGATACCTGAAAATGTTTATTTGCAACTTATTTGGGAAGATATAAAAGAGAAAGAAGCTTGAATACTTTGCATTCTTGTTTCTCACATCTAGGGGCATCTAACGATCCTCATATTCACTAGAGGTAAACACAGCCACACACACCTACAAGCTGACATTTACCTGTTGTAATGTTTCATCACCATTCAGACACTGAAGTTACAGGAAAAAGAAAACTCAACAGATGAAAATGAGTGGTCTGCTGCCCCTGTTAAGTCCCAAACTGCAAAGATTTCTTGATTTCCAGTAACTACAGTTGAAGACAGGGCTTGGGAATCACCAAGCCACCTTAAAATTTAGTAAATTCAACTCATCTGCTGCGTGTATGCCTCCAGGACTGGAAAGACACAGCTGTTTCCCAGACTCCTTTGCTTTCCTCAGACTCCTCTTCACACAGCGCACATCTTCTGAGACTTCGCTCTGGAGTCCGTGGGTGACTACTCAGGCCACTGCTTATTTTAACAGCACCACTAACTTTCCTAATCACAAAAGTTAACTCTTCAAAACTTTTCTCACTTGTAATAAAATCCTAGTAGTTCACCGACTCCACTGCAGTTTTAGAACATGAAACCTGAAACAGACAAAACTTCATGGGTACTAATGAACTTAAAAATGGGAAAATGGGAGCTGGCGCTATGACACAGCAGGTAAAGCCACTGCCTGCAGCACCGGCATCCCATGTGGGTACCAGTTCGGGTCCTGGCTGCTCCACGTCTGATCACGCTGCTAACGTGCCTGGGAAAGCAGCGGAGGATGGCCCAAGAACTTGGGCCTCTGCACTCGTGTGAGAGACCTGGAAGAAGTTCCTGGCTTTGACCTGGCCCAGCCCTGGCTGTTGTGGCCATTTGGGGAAGTGAAACAGTAGATGGAAGACGTCTTTCTCTGTCTCTCTCCTTCACTCTGTAACTCTGATTTTCAAATAAATAAATAAAAAACAGAGATGCATAAACGGAAGCTCAACCCCTGAGCTCTGAACACACTATTCCTATTCCCTTAAACAACTGACATTTGACCCAATTCCTACACTCCCCTCAGGGACCAAATCTTCGAGAAGTTATCTACCTGACTTCATGTACTCCACATATCAACTCACTACAGTAATATTAGTAACTTAATAATATTTTTCCAAAGAATAACCATAGCCAGCCAAGAGGTCTACGGCCCCCTTCACACATTTAAAATACCAAACCACCATAGTGAGAAACAGAGTACTTGCCTTTGGCCAGGCACTGCACGAAGCACTTAATGAATCCTGGGAACAACCTTACCCAGCAGATACAACAACTGTCCCCATATTATGGGTTCAAAAGTTGAGACACAGCAAGTGCAATAAGCCACATAATCTGGCTCCAAAGCTCATGGTCTATGCTTACCCACTACACAGCTACACCTCCTTTCATAGTAGTTTCTCCGGGGGTGGGGGGGGGGTGGTGAGAGCAGGCAGACAGTGCTGTGTGGGTTCTGACAAAGCAAGAGGCAATGGGGAAGTGACTCCTGACACACTGGACTGAACAGGGGTGGAATAAAGAACTCAGACCTCAAACTCCCGCTTCCCCAAGTTGCCCGCTGCTCAGCCTGACCTGCGCATTCACTAGAAAGAAACAGGGGGCTCCCTCAGGACCTAAACTAAAACGTCAACATTTAGGAGCGTCAAGACACTCCCCTCCCCCCGCAACAGTTTTCTGGAGGGAAAAGTCCCACCGAATGGTGTGCTCTTTGGCTTCGAAGTCAGTTCTCTAGCTGGTAATGGCTGCTGATCTCTTTTCCCAAGTCAGAACAAAGAAATCTCACACAAACCGAGAAGGGACGCAGGGCCGAACACCTTGCAGCCAGCATAGGCGGAGCTGAACTCTCCTGCACTTGCTTATTGGTTCAAAGAGTTAGATGAGAGGAAATGTGTTTCCTGCTCTTTCCTGCTTAGGGACGGGCTGCGTCTTTAGCTGCTCTGATTCGGCGCCGTATGCTCTGAATATGCTCACTAATCTTCACAACCCAGAAAAGGAGATTGTTTTTCCAGTTTTAAAGATCCGGAAACTGAGGTTTTGCAGTTACCTCTCGGTTACCCGGCCACACAGGCGTTAAATCTGCGTGGGGTTAATTGGCGTGAAGAGACTTGCTGGAAAACCGACAAACACAGCCGGAAGAGTAGGAAATGCAAGGCCTGGGCAGAAGCCACAGTTAAGAGTCTCAAGGTAACAGTTTCTGGATGCTTTGGAGACAAGGGGCAGGACTTCACGAGGCTGACGGGTTCCCCTTCGACTTCCTTATGCTCTAACGAACCCCTCGGCAAGGCTAACAACGTCTTCCCTGGGCTGGCCCATGACTAAGCTGGGAACGGGGACCTCCAGTGGAGCGTCTCCCTGCGGCTCGCTGGCTCACTGCTCACGTGGCAGCCCCGGCGGTACTCGCTCCGGGAGAAGCGCGGCCCCAACTGGCTCAAAGACCCCATCTGGGAAGAACTCAAACAGCCTCAAAGAAGTAACTTTCCGTCCCAAGGGCTGAGGCTCCCTACAACGCAAGGCGGTGCCTGAACAATGCCTCCATGTCCCTGTCTTTTTCTCCAGACCACATTCGGGTTGCAGAAATTCTCGCTCCGGCTCAGCGCCCGCACTTTACAAGAGCTCGGAGCCTGGGCGCCCCCAACGCCGCCGCCACACCTCCTCGCACGGCGCACGGCCTGCAAACCGCCAGGAACACCCCGAACAGGACTGCACACCCGGGGACCTGCCGCCCCCTGCCTCCGGTCTTGCAGGTGCTTTGCTTCGGGGAAAGGCTGTGCCCTCAGGCCCTCGCCTCCATGCTGCTCCACGGTTCCTCAGCCGGACCTCTGGCGGGACCCAGGGCCAAGAGATCAGCCCGGCGATCTCAGCTCCGGTCCCAGACGCCGAGGTGCGAGCGTCCCCCAGCCCGCCGCCTCCTCCTCCTCCACGCCCCTCATACTCACGTGGCGCGGGCAAAGGCAGCAGGCAAAGCTCACGTCCCCCGGCGAGTATCCGTGAAGGGCAGGGAGACGGGGCCAGCGAGGGCCCAGCAGCAGACCCCGGTCCCAGCGCCCGCGTCCGAGGCCAGCGTTCCCCCCGCGCCTCGCTGTGCCCCACTCCAGGAACCGGAAACAGGAAGCGCCAAGCCGCCGCTGGGCAACTGCTCCTCCCACTAGACCCCGCGGCATGTGACCGCAGTCCCCGGTCTCCCCTTTCCCCTTCCCGGGCTCCCCGACCACCCTGGGTGCCGATTGGCCAGTACTCTAGGGCGTGTAGCCCCGCCTTTGTCGCAATGACTCCAATCACGATCGAGACTGTCAAACTGACTTTTACCTTTTCGGGGTTGCTTTTCTACCAATGGGGTCCCAGCGCCGCGCTTCTGGGCCCTCTCGGTTCCTGCGCCCCCACTACGCGGGGGGAGGGAGGGTCACGCGGGGCCACGTGACAGGCCGGCTCCCAGCGAGGGCGGAAGCGGGAATACGGCAGCGGCCGGCCCCGCGTGGCTCTCTGGGAGTTGTAGTTCTCGCAGGCCGGCTCCGGGCGCTTCCGCAGCTCGTTATCGTCGAGGCCTGCAGGAGGCGCTGTTCTGCTGTCTGGCGGCTCGGGGTCCTCGGCGGCGTGGGAGGGCGGAGCGGCCGCGTTGCTCGTTGTTCACGTCTAGGGCGAGGCGGTGTAGGGTCGTAGTTGCTGCTTTTGTCCTGAACCGAGGGCAGCTCGGTTCCGCAGGCTCCCGTGGCCCACCGGCCTCAGGCAGGTGCCTTCCCAGCGTTTTGCGGTCCCGAGCGGCGCGTTAGGCTGCGCCTCTGCTGAGGTGCCTTGCGTTCTTCTTGGGTCGTCCGGCTCGTCCTTGGGGTTCGGTTCGAAGGCTCCTGCTGCTGCCGACTGTCCGCACGCGCTGGCTTCAGGACCGAATTCCTTCCTGGGAGCCCTGGCTGGTTGCTTGTGCCTGCCTTGGCCTTGCTCTCTCCCTCCCCCTCCCCCTCCCCCTCTCTCCTCTCCCTCTCCCTTCTCGGAGGTACTGGCACAGTGTTTGGAGTAGACTGATAAAAAACCTAACCATTGCCTAGTACTGTGTTTGCCTGTGCGTGCTTTCAAGGAGAGTCACTTAATCTTCACACCCACCTCATGGGGCAGTACGAAGGAATGGCCGGAACTCTGTGGAAAAATGAAATTAGAAGTTTGTTTCGGTGCAAAAAAAAAAAAAACCACCACCACCAACAACAAAAAAACCAAAGTGAAATTCATTGTCTATAAGAGGTCTTTAAAAAGTGCGTGGAGGGGCTGGCTCAGTGGTTAATCCTCCACCTGTGGCGCCGGCATCCCATATGGGCGCCGGGTTCTAGTCCTGGTTGCTCCTCTTCCAGCCCAGCTCTCTGCTGTGGCCCGGGAAGGCAGTGGAGGATGGCCCAAGTGCTTGGGCCCTGCACCTACATGGGAGACCAGGAGGAAGCACCTGGCTGTTGGCTCTGGATCGGCGTAGCTCTGGCCATAGTGGCCATTTGGTGAACCAACGGAAGGAAGACTTTTCTCTCTGTCTGTCTGTCTCCCTCACTGTCTACAACTCTTGTCAAATAAATAAAAAACAATTTAAAAAAGTGCGTGGAAAACGTGTATTATGCAAAGCAGTATATGGATTTCAAATTCTTTTGCATTTCAAATAAACATCTTTTCATTCCATTTTCCCCACAAGCTTTTTGAAGGGCCCTTGTATCTTAGCTTCATTTTACAGATAAGTGAATTCAAGTGGTTAGAGACGAACGGTGTGACTGCCTTAGCCTGGGTCCCACACCTGTAGGGTTCAAATTAGGCCTGTTATCTGCAGTCTCTGTGCTCTCGACACTGCATATTGTACTCACCACATACCCTCTGCGTTTAATCGGGACATGCAGTTCAGGCTAAGTAGTAATCATAACTGCGGATGTTTCCTTAAGAAAATAAGTTAAAAAATTAAAAGATAATTTTTGGTTAACTTAATATTATGTTTAATTATCTTTGTTATCGTAAAACTAATTTGCCATCAGAGAGCACAGAACGGGCCGCTTTGTGGTGCAGTGTTGAGCAGCCACTTGGGACGCCCATATCCCGCACTGGAGTGCCCGGGTTTGCATCCGGCTTCTGCGGCTGATCCGGCTTCCTGTTACTGCACATCCACTGGGAAGCAGCAAGTGATGGCTGAAGTGCTTGGGTCCCTGTCGCCAGGTGGGAGACCCAGATGGGGTTGTTGGCTCCTGACTTTGGTGTGAGCCAGCCCCGGATGCTGTGGGCATCTGGGAAGTGAGATCTCTTGCTTTCTGACTCTCTGTCACCTGCCTCTCAAATAAACAGATCTTTAAAAAAGAAGAAAAAAGCACAGAGCAATACACAACTAACGCATATGCTCCCTAAGACCTGCTATGTTTTCTTCATGAATAAATGCTTCGTTTCTTCAAAACCTTCTGTTAGCAAATACTTCACTGTAAGGACTCTGCTTGATGTGATGCATTTGGGACCTAACTGATGTCTTGACCTTTAGGCGACCTTGGAGTTCCTCCTCTCCTCTCCTCTGCTCTGCAGAGTTACAGAGAGGCAGAGGCAGAGAGAGAGAGAGAGGTCTTCCATCGCTGGTTCACTCCCCAGATGGCCGCAATGGCTGCAGCTGGGCCGATCTGAAGGCAGGAGCCTGGAGCTTCTTCCAGGTCTCCTACGTGGATGCAGGGGCCCAAGGATTGGGCCATCTTGTAGTGTTTTCCCAGGCCATAGCTGGATCGGAAGTGGAGCAGCTGCGACTCGCCCACATGGGATACCGGCACTGCAGGCTGGCACTTTAACCCACCACACCACAGTGCTGCCCCCAGTTGTTTTTTTTTTTTTTTTAACAATTTGAGAGTTTCACATTACCGCTAAATACATTAGTGTGTATAAAGATACTGCGAAGAGTTCATGGAAAAATGGAATTAAAAGTTTACTTTAGCATAAAAAATTTTTGAAATCCATGCATAGTTTTTTCATAATGATGCATTTTATACAAACCTTTTGAAGGCTCCTTGGTGTTTTCTAAGAATGAGGGCATTCTCTTTAACAAATTGTCAGAATTAAGAACTATAACTCATACATTATTCAATCAATGGTCTGTATTCAGAATCTCACCAACTGTCCCAATAAATGGTCTTTACGATGGCTTCCCATTCCCTAACCACAAAAGCCAAGTCAGGGTCACATATTACGAGTAGGTGTCATTTGATCTTGAAATTTTGAGGCATAGAAGCACTCATTTTGTAGAATATCTCTCATTTTGGGTTTTTCTAATGTTTCTTCATGAATATATATATTTATATAAATATTTTAAGATTTTTTTTTTTGACAGGCAGAGTTAGACAGTAAGAGATAGAGACAGAAAGGTCTTCCTTCCATTGGTTCACCCCCCAAAATGGCCGCTATGGCTGGTGCACTGCAGCCGGCGCGTCGCGCTGACCCTATGGCAGGAGCCAGGTGCTTCTCCTGGTCTCCCATGCGGGTGCAGGGCCCAAGGACCTGGGCCATCCTCCACTGCACTCCCGGGCCACAGCAGAAAGCTGGACTGGAAGAGGAGCAACCGGCACAGAATCTGGCGCCCCGACTGGGACTAGAACCCAGAGTTCCGGCGCCGCAGGTGGAGGATTAGCTTAGTGAGCTGTGGCACCGGCCTAAGATTTTATTTACTAATTTGAGAGGCAGAGTTACAGACAGAGGGAGAGAAAGAGAGACAGGTCTTCCATCCACTGGTTCACTCCTGAAATGGCCGCAGTGGCCAGAGCTGGACTAATCGGAAGCCAGAAGCCAGGAGCTTTCTCTGGGTCGCCTATGTGGTTGCAGGGTCCCAAGCACGTGGGCCAGCCTCCACTGCTTTCCCAGACTACAAGCAGAGAGCTGGAGGGGAAGAGGATCAGCCTGGACTTGAACCAGTGGAGGCCCAGCCTACTGCACCACCACACCAGCCCCTCTTGAATATATTTATGTATGCACTTTTTCTTATTTATATTCTTTTATTTGAAAAGTACAGAGGGAGAAAGAGAGAGAGCAAGAGAGAATATTTCCATCTGCTGGTTCACTGTCCAAATGCCTACAACAGCCAGGGCTTTATCAAGATGAAGCCAGGTGCTGGAATTCAATCTGGGTCTCCCACATGAGTGACAGAGACCCCAGGACTTGAGCCATTACCTGCTACCTCCTACAGTCTGCAGTAGCAGGGAGCTGGAGTTAGAAGCAAAGTCAGGGTTCAGTCCCACACATTGCACTATGGGATGCGGGTGATATGTACGCATCTTTTTGAAAGGAACACCAGAGAAGTGATGAGTGCTTGTATGAGTCAGGATCCAATCAGAAGATGGATAATACCATACCTGTGGTTTTTAACAGGAAAAAATTGATATGAAGAATTGTTTTCTAGGAAAAGATGGCCAGTTATTAACAGGGGTAAAAGAGGACTGTGTCATACAGAAGTAGCAACTGTAAAAAGAAGCTATTAAAAGCAACTAAAGAATCAGTAAGGAAGTAACTTAAAGGAAATGCTCCTGCCCCCAACCACAAGGTGCTGGATTCAGCTCCCTGGAGAGAGGGTGTGGTTCCTGCCACAGGAACAGGCAGCCCTCTGCTACCCACCTCCCTCCCTCTCCTACCCCCTGTCACCAGGCAGGTGTGGGGAGCAACTGGGAGCAACTCGGACTAGACTAAGTTACTGGAATTAAGACTTATTCTATGCATCTGCTTTCCCACAATATGGCGCTGAGAAGGGAGTAACAGCTTCTACACAGCTGCCTCCAGTTCAACCAATAAACAGCAGGACCTGCTCCTGATTGCAGGAGAGCAGCGTGCTTGGCGTGTGGGTAGCAGAGTTGGGATTGGCGGAAGAGGACTATAAAGGAGGAGAGAGACAACATGCACCAGGTACATCTATCTGAAGGAACACCTGTGCAGCCCCCGAGAGAGCCGGCCGGCGGTGTGCCGCTCCCCCGCGGAAGTGGGGAAAGTGGCAGGGGGAACCGCCCTTCCACGGAAGAACCAGCAGCAAACCCGGGGAGGGCCGAGCAGACAAAAGAACAGCGCAGGGTCCTGTGTCGTTCCTCCATGAAGACGGGGAGCGACAGCAGGGACGT